CGTCAATGCTTCTCTATTATTTATACTTAATAATAGATTATATTGAAATGGCGGGCTTACAGAGGTACAAAGAATAATTTTATTTTATTTATATTATGAAGAAATACGAAGAAAGAAATAGCGATTAAGAAAGTTAGAACTATATTCCTTATTTTAAACCAAACTACGAAAGAGTTTATATCCTGAAAAATCCAATAATTACGAATTCAAAATTCTTGTTCAAAGTGACAATAATGTGATTAGTGAAAGTGAAAACATAAATATCGACTCCCGCCGCTTAAAAGACTATTTAGAAAGCTCAAACAACGGAAATAAGTTATTTAAAAGAAAGTGAAAACGTAATATTTGTAGAACTACTATGGAAAATATTAGGGGTTAAAGTATGAAATTGCCGTTTCGCACTGAAAAATTAAAACAATTTTTTTTAAGATTAAATATATTTGTTTAATCAAAGTTTTTTCCCTTGTTGTCTATACATTTCTGCCATGTAATCGGAAGGTCATTTAAACCTTTGCGAAAGAACTCTGGGGACCTGGACTCCACAGCTGTGTGAAGGGATTTTTGTACTGCTTCCTGGGAATTTTATTTCCATACAAAAAAAATTCAAATTGCGGGAAAAAATGGTAGTCGGTCGGGGCGAGGTCCGACGAATATGTAGGATGATGCGATAATTTATATCTGCAGGTCTTGTAGTAGTAAAACTGTTTCTCAAGCAGTGTGAGGTGTTGCGTTATCATAGAGCAATAACGGTGAAGCTGTTTTGCTGCGAGTTCCGTCGTCATTATTCAAACGCCATATGTCATATTGTGGGTATGCCAACATTAAACCATGACGTTTCGTGGTAGTTTGATACGGATCGGCTTCCATCATTACCTTCAATTCAACGTTATTTACATTTGTGACTGGTCTTCCTCGTGGTTCTTTCTTCAAGTCGTAATTTGCCGTATTGCCGGCGTTTGCCGTATTTGCGTATGCCGTATCCTCTCCAAATACAGCATTGACAGTTTCTGCTACGTTAACTCCATGTGGAAATTCGTATTCGAAAATTAGGTACTCAGATTTTCGCTGTATCCATCTTCACGTTAAAAGCTGAATGTAAAAACAAATGAAAGTCGAACAATCAAATATCATGTTTTTTAAGTTAAGCATGTTTTACTTTTCGTGTGAAAAACGTTTCACTCTGAAATCGGACACCATACAGGTTTAATTTTAATTTAAAGTGGCCAGTAAAATAAATCGGCAATTTCATATTTAAACCCCTATTATTTAATGAGGATCCCGCTATTAAACGAAGACATGGCTCAAAGGACTAGTAGCCAAGCTAAAACTATTAATAAAAAAAAAATTACAATCGAAAATAAATGGCGGGTTTTTGAAGTTACAGTTACAATATAGTTTTGACATAGATTATTTTTGTTATAAGTATATTATGCAACAAAATACGAAAGAAGAAATAGTGATGAAGAAAGTTACAACTACAGTCCTCATTTTAAACCAAACTGCAAAAGCTTTTATCCTGAAAATTCCACTAATTACGAATTCAAAGTTTTTTTACTGTGATCTAGAGTGGAAGTGAAAATGTAAATATTTGCTTAAAAGACTATTTAGAAAACCCAAACAAGAGAACTAAGTTATCTAACAGAAAGTGAGAACATAATGTATATTCGAACTACAACGGAAAAAAAATATTTTATTGAGGATCCCGGTAATTAAACGAAGACATGGTTCACAGGATCTGTATCCAAGCCAAAACTATTAATAATGGATTAAATTCAAAATAATCACATTAATACAAGTTTGCTAACTTAAAATAACTCACTAATGTTGTTCAATAGACCTGGGCCAGGCCGTAAAAAAAGAACGAATGAATTGAATGATTTACGAGATATAGCGTAGCTGAGCATGCCTCTGTGCTTGACAAGCAGGTTGACAGAAAAAAACATGGCCGTCGTGTGCGTTACGTCGCGTGAAAAATCTATATAGTTAAAATTTAAGTCAAGTGTTTTCTGTGAAACTAGATTAATGTCGATCTGTCAGTGCAGTTTAAGTTGCTATTAAAGCACGCGGGGATATAACCGATACGTCATTGAGGGTTGGGCGACATCGGTGTTTGCGGAAAGGAAGTGTGCAGTGGTTGAAGGCGGCTTTTGGCCGCGAGGAGCAATGTCTTTCCCCGGGCGGCCGCCACTCGTGCCATACGGCGTCGTCACCATGCCAATAGCTACACACGTACGTATATGCGCTTCAATTCGAAAGCATAATATTTAGCCATCCTAACCTATATGTCAAATTGATGCCGTTTTCGGAGATTTCCAGCACACTGTCCTGTAACGTTTTTTAATACGAATGTGCACATAATACATTTTCAGTAGGTACTGGATTCAACTGCCAGAAATTCTTGTTTCTTATAATGTAAAATTATATACAGACACATGTAAAGCTATCAGTACATGTAAAGTGTATAAAATTCGTGTTTTACTTGAACGACTGCTTTATTTTAATTTAAATGCGGAAGACAAGTTACTCCCACTAATAAAGTAAATAAATCAAGGGAGTTAGCTAATTGTTTGGGGACCCTTTGGCATTTTCTTCTTGTTTTCCTTTTTCTGCATTTTTGAAGCCTCTTCCATAATTTTGGCAAGAAGCGATCAAGTAGCTGCTTGTTGTGTCTGATTTCTCGCAGATAACAAACTTTTAAATTTAAAAACATGCTGTCACAAATAGAATAGGTGGTTGTTCTTCTGTCTGTGTCTATTGAAGTTTACTGTTGTTTGTTTTTTATTAATTAAAACTTTTAGTGAGTCTTCATTGTAGGCTATATGAACAGAAATTGTGCAAAATGTAAATAAACAATAAAATGTTGCTAAATACAAATTTAATAATTATTAAGTTAATAGGTTTTTGCAATCAGTCGCAAGAGTTGTTTTAACTACATGGTAACAAAATACTTTAATGGTAAATTGTTTATCCAGGTCCCCAAATTGTCTAACTTAAAACTTCAAAGTTGTCCTTCATGTTCAATCTGATTTTCTTAAATTTTGCCAAATGTTTAGTGGAGAATTTCATATCCTACACATTTAGGGCCGTATTCTAGAACTCTACTCAATGCTCAAGTCAGGTTTTGAGTATGGTTTAAAGCACTCGAAATCATACTCAAGTCCCTGCCATTAGGGTCATATTTCCAGTGCTTGTGTTTCCAGTGCAATCCTGATTTGAGCATTGAGTAGAGTTCTAGAGTCAACCCTTAGAAACTTATTTCTTACTGGTGTTCAGAATGGGATGGTTTTAAAGTTACCTGATACCCGGTGTTGTGTATGAGGGTCAAATGTATCAAGTCTGTGTATAAATGCCAGAATAGATACTTATATTATTACTGATCAACAAATGAACAAACTTAAGTATTTATTTATTTATTCATGGAAAACCAACAGCTTAACACAATGAAAAACATCATCAAATACATTACAGCCAATTAAAGGTTTTCACTTATAATAACTTAATGACTAAACAATGAGCACTTAGGAAGTGGTCACAGCAAATAAAATTAATTAAAATACAACGGATTGTCATGCACTTATTGATACTGGTGGAAAACAATTTGAGCACTTGCTGTAGTCTGTAATAAAATTATAATAATTTATTCATTACTTTTATTTACATTACTATATCTGTCAAGAAATGTGGGATTTTGAGACTATTTGCCTCACTCAATCATACTTACCACTTTTACCAGTCAATCTAACTCTGACTACATGGATATGAAACCTAAATTAATCTTAGAGGCACTGAAAGCCAATTTCACTTAGAAAAGATAACCTTTTTACATAAATAAAATTATCGTAATTATTTATCTTAAATATTTAATTATATTTTTTTCCAAGAAGCATAACATAGAAGATTTTATACTATTTTAGAATCTTGATTAGTTGCCCCAACTTTTGTAAAAAGTTGCCATGGTAGTCTAGGTATATTTACTTCTAGGTACGTTTTATATTATGGGATGTGTCAAAATTACCCTGCAAAAAAAAAAATCTGCTGAAAATTTCAAGAAAAAAATTAGATAGAATTTTTTTTGTGCTCAAATTTTAGCAATTCATGCTGTCTTTGGTATTGTGTTCATTAGCTTTTTATTTTATAATTTATTTCTGGCTATGGAAACAAAGTCCTTCAGCCGAAAACATAAAAATAAGTATTTCTGTAAATATGGCCGCCACAAAGAGGATAGGCAATTTGAGGCGGCGTGCTTGGATTGACTCGGGATTCCTTAGAATAGGCCGATACGGGTATTTTAGTTCGAGATTCGTATAATTTCGCGTTTTAATCTTGGATAGCACTATCCTATTCCACTTTAAACTAGATTTCACAAAATAATTGAAAGTCAAAATAAAAACGATACTTTTCCCTCCGAAAGGTCCAGAGCGAATCTGTTCATTAGCTGAGCTGTTTGGGTTACCGTTAGAAAAAGTAGAACAGCAAAATTAGCAAATTTGTAATTGTAGTACTTAAAAATGGTGTACAGGGCATACATTTTCAACATTTTTCATTAAAATGCTTAGTCACAAAAAAACTTGTCTCCGATGTTTTAATTTTTTTTTTCTGGGTTGTTACAAACTAGGCAACATTCTGTTCTCAGGTTATCGTTGAGTTTTGGCATACCCTGTGTATGTAATGTACATCATATATATCCCAATAAGGTATAAGAAAGAGGAATGTTTTCTTATCGGGACTGGGCATTCTACTCAAGGTATCGGGCCCGCTACATGCTTTAGTTCAATACGCACACTCATCGTTCCTTACGACATGCATGTTCTTAAATTTGTAATGCCGAAGTGCGTTTTCTCAGTACCAACCCACTCCCGCACATTCCGTCTGTAGGGGCCGTCCCCACCACCCGTCGGGCACGTGCAGTGCCGTGCAGTGACGCGCTCGCTTCCCGTCGCGCGTCACAACTAGCGTTGCCACTGCTACGTGGCGGTGACGCGCGCTCCTGCCGGCAGGTGATGGTGGGCGCGTACGGCGCGGCCGGCGAGGCGCGCGGCGCGCTGCTGCCGGCGCCGGGCGCCAAGGGCGTGATCGCGCGCGCCGCGCCGCAGCGCAACGGCGGCGACGCGCCCGCCGTGACGGTGTTCATCGGCAACATCAGCGCGCGCGCGCCCGACGCCATGGTGCGCGCGCTGCTGGCGGCCTGCGGCGCCGTGCTCAGCTGGAAGCGCGTGTCCACCTTCGGCTTCTGCGAGTTCGGCGGCGTGGAGGCGGCGCTGCGCTGCGTGCGCCTGCTGCACGACCGGCAGGTGGCCGACCGCCGGCTCGTGGCCCGCACCGACGGCAAGATGCAGGCGCTCGTCGACTCCTACAAAAGTCTGTAGCTCTCTTTCGCCTCTGCTTGCGGTACGGTACGCAGCGACCGGCACTTCGAGCAGACAATGGCATGTTTAAGCGATGAAATTCCGAAGGGGCCGACTCGCGCGTTGCGAACGTAACGGAGCTCGTCGCGTTGCAGGCGAGCAGCGGTCGCGGCTGTCGGGCGAGGAGGCCGCGGCGGCGGGGGGCGCGGACGAGGCCGCGGGGGAGGAGGGCTACCTGGACGCCAAACAGCGCGGGCTGGACGACGCGGCCGAGCGCAGGCTCGTGCAGATCATGCGCGACTACCAGCACGAGATCAACAACTACGAGACCTTGCAGAAGGGTAAGCGAGACCGACACCCCAGGAACGCGCTCCACTCCTCGACCCGGTCGCGTGTAACGAAGCAACGGTCCATTGCAGAAGAGGCGATCTCGAAGACGGCGAAGGTGCTGGAGGAGGCGGACATCTCGGAGGAGAAGCGCGACGTGATCCACCGCGAGATCGGCAAGTTCCGCGAGAGCATGAAGGTAACACGAGAGACGAGCGCCGGCTGTCGGCGACCGCGCCCACCCCGCCCCGCCGGCCACTCACCTCGGCTCTGCTCCCTAGGCCGAGGCGGCGAGGCGGAGTGCGCGCGGTCTTCTCCTTGGCGGTAGGTGGCGCAGAGGCGGAGGCGGCCGCGGTGAGTGCTCCAGCCTTGCACACTACCACACTTCTCACACTCGCGCTCACTAGGGCGGTCGTTGTCGGTCAAAGAGTAACGTTCCGCGGTGGCGCCTTTCGGTTCGCCTACGGCCTCCACGAAGAGGCTTCGGAAGTTGGCAGCGAATAAAATGAAGTAAATTGTTTTAAACCGAGCACTCGCTCAGGTGCTGGTAAACTTATGACTGGCGTCCAATCGAGCTTGTTAATTAAGTTTGCTAAATAATACTGAAGTTTAAACATTTACATGTAACAAAAGTTATTGCACGTGTACCTATTTTATAAAAGTTTTGAATAATGTAACCATATGTGACATTGCTGTATTGTGTTAATCTATGACCGATAATGCCTTAGTACTATTTGAATTGTTTTAGTAAATATGATTTTATTCTTATTGGAACTAATTTTATTACTTAACGTACCACTTTTAATTTCTTCATGAGTAGTGTGATCTCAATTTTTTCTTATTTTGTGCGTGTCGTGCTCGACGACGCCACGCTCTTATTGCCCAAGGCACCGTTTTCGCCAGATTTTATGAAAGATTTTGGTATGAGATGTCTAATTTGCACTTGGGACAGGACTAAAGTCACATGTCCTATGAGGGCATTTGTAGTATAAAAGTTTTGAATGCATCTACTTACTGTATATTTTAGCATTATTTCTACACAGGGTTTACTCTTATAAGAGCATATACCTAATAAAAATGAGTACCAAAATTTCACTTTACTGTTCATTGCAATGCAAACACTGACGCGAACGGCGTAAGGTTGAAAAAGTGACCGTTTGCCAGCCACCCTCGGCGCGCCTCTCCACACAACACCCGTCCAACACGTACACACAAACAGCTAACTACTCGAGAGTGTCCCGCGTCGCCGTTACGGATTCACGTATTGTTATACCGTTTTCTTTCCTAGAATACGTTCTGTGTACTCCGTGTTTGTCTCGAGATGAACGACGACTGGGCAGTCGCCCGAGCGCGTGCTTCTCGGCCGGGACGCTCGGGACGCTGCGCGGCGGCGGCTCGGGATCTCGTTTAATTTCCTTTATATTGACCACTCGGTTTCGCTTGACATTGTTTTGTTGCCATCGCTTGCACTTCGCTCCATTCCGGCGAAGTGCCGTCGCAGTATTTTAGATTTCGGCGAAGCTTCTCTAAGCCTCTGCTAAACCGTGGCGGTCGAGGTCGGTGGAATAGCGCAACGTTGCGTCTCACGTGGCGAGACTAACACTCGAGACGTTCGTCCTCTAATACGCATTGCCGTGACGAGCGTCTGTCACGACCGACGCGTGCAAATCAGTGCCACCGAGCACCGCGCGCTGAACACGGTCGGCCCCACCGTCGTTGTACGCGTTAGAGAAGCTCCGATTGGTCCCCTTGCCTGGCGAGGCGGCGGGGGCGGCAGGGCGGCCCCGCGCGTGCGGTGAGTTGCGGCGGGGCCGCGCGCGAGGGCGGCGCCTGTCGCCGGGGGCCCCGTGGCCCCGCGGCCCCGTGGCCCCGT